AAATCTTTTATTCTTCTGGGGACTTTTATGAGCCCCATCATTATCATATCTGAGCACCACACAGTACCTCATGCACAGGGAAATGTTCTTATTTCATCTTGCACATAACTGCACCAAGGCGCCACATGGCTATAGTGAAGTTCCACGAGTACTTATGCCTCAGTCTCAACTACAGTTTAGCATCTGTCTCTCACAACTCGTATCCCAGCAGGCTCCTTGGACCAGACATCCCTGCCCTCACCTGAGCCAAGCTGTGAGATCTAGCACATCTTCCTAAAGCCCAGAACAAAGGCCAAGTGGTCACAACTACATGAGAAACCTTGGCCTGATCCACCTGACAGGTCATAACTTCGCATCTACCCCCTTCTTCCATAAACAGCAAGCTTTAAACCCCAGGCTGTAATGATTCAGGACACTCGTGCTCACTTCTTTGGGAGCATTTGCATTTTCTAGAAAATGATTAAGGACACGTGGTGCCCATAAGATAGGTTGTGCCATGGTTAACTCATCACCTAACAGAGAGGACATTTGTCAGGTGTGCTCCAGCAACTCCTGTGTTTTAGAAGTCAAAACTTGCACTCAAAATAGCACATCAGTAGTGTGCATCTGCCCCTCTGGACTCTTCACTGATCCCTGTAATTGCTTGCCTGCATCTGAGTATACACACACATATACACACATCAATTGTCTTAGTAAAGTAGGTGTTTCTGAAGGCAAAGGATGTCACAACACATGGCCCAAAGTCTAATTCTCACATTAGAAGGACTTCCATCAAAATTGGGAATAATTTTCCTCCCTCCACATCCCTTAAAAGAGATCAGAAATAGATGCAAAACATTACAACAATACTACAGACAAAGGTAAGGATTATTTCCAGATTCAGTACACTTCTGCTTATCTTCTGTGGGATCATGCTGGCTTCCCCAGTTAATTGCAATGATGTAGCAAAGCTCAGGCTGAGTTACGCACTGCTGGGCTGGTTCAGCTGAGCTGGTATTCTCATATTGTTTGTGCTCTCCCTCATGATCTCCAAATCCTTTTCAACTGCTCGTTTTCAGAGGACAGCACCATACACATACAGTTTCTGGATGCATAGCTAGCTTTCAGCTGCAAGAAAATGCATCCAGTTTACCCAGTTATAATACTATAGGACTTCCCTCTTTTCCTCATTATACTTACTTCCTACACTTACCACCCTTCTCCTAGAGTACAACTGTTAGCAACAGGGATTTTATGTATTTTAGAACAACAAAGCTAGTTCATTGAGGTTCCCTAAGTACAAGTATCACCCACCAGGTACAAAAACAAATGCTCGGAAAGGAGGGGAACTGAATTCAATGAAGAAAATGGCTCAGTCACCAGGATTTCCTGCAACTGTTCTGGGTCTCCTCTATTCATTATGCTTAGCTTTCTACAGCACGCTCAACCACTAACTAGGGTGGAGAGTGGGACTCAGGTCTTCCTCCAGCCCAGGAATATTTCATTCCATTTTCATTTTTCACCCTCTCACCACACAGAAGATCCCTAAGTATAATAAGAAGCTTGAAGTCAAGTACTTGGACACTTCAGATGGCATCCCTTTTAGAGAAGAGACAGGTGTTAAGCAAGCATCCTTCCAGACTGAACAAGACCTTATACCTCAGTCCTGAGGACAATCCTGTCAGGAAAGTTTGGAAATTCAAAGCTAAGGTTTTAAAACTAGCCTAGCTTACACTCTAGTTCTGCACATTTAAGTTAGGCATGAAATTCTCTTTGACCCCAAAAGTCAAGACTGTTTTCAGCCCTGGGAGTTTTACAAGTACCTCTTGTTTTGCCTAAGCTACAAACACTGTGAGAACAGGGATGTAGCTTGATTTGAATGTAAACATTAAAACTGATGTGTCTCCCCTCCCAAGAATGACCAGAGTCCCCCTAAGCAAAGCTGCTTTCAAGCATTATACGATATATACAGATATAAACATGCTGAGGAAAAATCAGAAGTAGAACAAAAATAACCTTATGCTAATTGAGATCTGTAAAGTATGGCAAATGTACTACCTACCCATGTAAAGCAATCATCTCACATGAGTGAGATAATCTTCTGGTGTTGAACAGAACTGTACTCGCTCCATCTGTAAGAATTAACAGATGGAGGAACTCTTTGGGCTTTACGTAACAGTAATTAAATAAATCCTCACAATGGCCACATGATTTCATGCACAAGCCAGGGCAGCCTACAAAAAAAGAAAAGAGCTTTGCTGCCGGGTTGGAAAATTCCAGGCTGCATAGCCCAGAGAGCTCTGCAAAAGCAGTCAGCCTGATGCCTTGTATCAGCCTGCCTCATCCTCTGGGATAACCTCTTTGCCGCCCACTGGGACCAAGAGCAGAAAATCCAGAAACCGAACAGCTGCAACAGGCACCTTCATCATCTGCAGGAAGAAGTTCTTGGACTACTTTGTCTGCAAGAAGAGAGACGGTTAGCCACACACATTGTTATGCTAAAAGTGAGTCTGAATAAAGAAAATATAGGAAAGTTCATAGCATTTGGTGTGCAGGAGAGTTTGGCATCCACACAGACAGGCCCTGGTACAAGCATCCTGCAACCTGTCTCACATCACCTGCTTCACACTCACAAGCACCAGCAGCTCTCTTGCGGGCTGGCACCTGAGGCTGGAGGTGGGCATGTGAAATGCAAGAATTACCCAGCGCTACAGGCAGAAAAAGAAATCTTACAACCAAATAACACCTACCCAGACACCCATGTGCACACATACATATGTGAGTTGCTACCCATCTAAAGGGCAAGAAATAGCAGAATAAGCAAGGCACTTGAACTTCACCTTAACTGGAGAAGGAAGGCATCCATTACAGAAAGTGCAGAAAGGGACATGATTTTATATCTTCCTGCCCAAAAGCAAGCATCATCATTAGAGCCAGCAGACCTCCCTTACCTCTCTGAGGTGCTGGGCACAGGGATGATGGAATGGGGCACCCCAGGAGTTCACCTCTGAGAAATCCTCTGAGCCAGACTGGACATGGAGCTGCCATCTCCATACACCTCACCTGGGGGTCCTGCAAAGCTCTGTCCTCCCCCACCTACTACTCCACCTCTACGGAATACCTTGGATATCTTGGTCTGGAAACACAAACACGCAGATCACACGCAGGCCTTTATCTCATGTATATATTTGTGAAATACATACAGATATCTCCTGCTGCATCTAATACAGGGCCAAAATCAACACCTGAAAGAAAATTCAGCTCATTAAAACTGAACCTAGACCAGACCCAGGTGGGGGAAGGAACCCATCCAAATCTACCAATCATGTAATAGCCCATCTGCTGTTGCTGAAAACGCCTGCCCACGAACTAATGAAGCATTTCACAGCTTTTGGGTTCTTTTGCTCTTCCAAACAGGATGTGCTAAAAAAAAAAAAAAAAGTAAAAATTGGCAGAATGAAACATGCACTGATAGAGCTCCCAGCAAAATGTGTGACTGGGGGGGATTAAAAACACAAAAGCAGGTGTTTTACTGCCACCATATGGTCATAAATAGACCTAAGGCAGACTTTTAAAATACAAAATATTTGCACTTCTTCAGAAAACATCAGTTCAATAAGCATATCATTTTTATGTATTTCCTTAAGTCACCTCCATCTCGGGGTACTTGTGCCAAATCCATCTGATGACCAAGGTCCCACCATGTTACAAATCATACAAAAAATAAGACTGCATTTTCTATTACCCCCAAATCTCTTTTTGTTGTTGTTGTGCAGAAGAGCAGCAAAGCAGTTCAGTCTTTCACATCTCATCAGTATTATTTTTTCATCAGCTGTTTTTGTATTTCAGGAGGTGCCTTTTTCCCCCCCCAAAAGCCCTGTCAAAATATTCCCAATACTCATTAGCTATTCCCAAAATACAGGTATTTATGAAGCTTCACCCAGGTTTGTTTACTGTGATATTCAGCTCAAAACTCCAAAATAAATCATGAAGGACTGCTCTAAAAAATTCAATAGCAATGTACGCATTTCATGGTGGGGCGTGGTGTGCATCCAACTTTATTTTTCCTTTTGTGGAATGAGAACAAGTTTGTGAGATACCCGATTTTTAACTATTATTATTATTATTATTTTTAAAAAAAAAAGCTCTGCAAATCATAGAGTCACAGACTGGTTTGGGTTGGAAGCGACCTTAAAGATCATTGAGCTCCAAACCCTACCATGGGCAGGAACACCTTCCACTAGACCAAATGAATGAAGAAAAGTTGCCAGTGCTTTACATTTTGGTGACAAATATTTCCCAACAGTTAGTTCTCTTGGGAATCACTTTCAGTCTTTATTAATGAAGAATGACAATGTCTGTGACGTAGCCAAATCTTTGTGCAGGGATGTGAAAAACACCATCGCTGAGGCCTAGGCTATAATTGCAATTTCAAAATAGTTAGAGAACTAGTCTTCTGATGATTCAGCCGCATAACATAAAGCAGGTTATAATTAAAATGTTTATGTATCACGAGAATTTCACAACCTCATGGTTTAATACCACTTAGTAGATAAAAGGTACCGGCTCAGGCTTTTAGTGTGCTGTAGCATTAGTCCTTGTCTGATACCAATGAAGTGCAATATGGACTGGTATGTGGACCATACCATTTATAGTGGAAACTGGCTGATTCCCATTACAGTATCAGCCTCCCAATGTGCTTGCCACTTTGTCCCTCTAGGTAATTCATCAGCCACAGGCACAGTCATGTTTCATCCTTTCTCCAACCTTCCTTTGAGGGAGAGATATTTGAGACAGGAATGTTCAAAAAGCTTCAGGATCTGTAAGATAAGCAAGTCATTTGTTTTGGGATGGGTTGACTGTGGAGTCCATGATGAACTTCTCATCCAACATAAAAGGCTGCATTCAACATTAGCATTTGGGATGACTTTTTTCAGCTGTCACAGATATTACTTGACCAAAGCTCTAGAAAAAGATGGCCACAATAGCAGCCTGTGTTCTAGAAGGCCATTTTTGGTAACACAGATTACTATAATTTATTTTACGTTAAAATACTTTCACTGGCATATGTCAGTGCTTTACTGTGATGGTTTTGACCTCAGTGAAGAACTCATAGGAATCCTTTGCTCCCTCTCTTCCTATGCCTGAGGCTTTCATCCCACCAAATGGCAAGTTCAGATCTCTAATAAGCCAGCAGTTGGTCCACACCAATCCGCACTGTAGTCTTCGTGCCACCCGATGAACGCGTCCCACATTGCTGGACCACACAGTGGCTGCCAAGCCGTATTTCACACTGTTGGCTCTTTTGATCACTTCTTCTTCTGTATCAAATGCTACCACACATGTCACAGGACCAAAGATCTCTTCTTGCATGCAGCAAGATTCATCCTTGACTTCAGCAATAACTGTGGGCAACATGAAATAGCCTTTCTGGTTGCCAGCTGGGAGAGCCAAGGAATCCACTCCCTCTCCGCAGAGGACTCTAGCTCCTTCAGCCTGGGCTTTCTTCACATAGCTCTTTACCTGCAGAAGCAGCAGGAAAACATCATTGCTAAAGGACACCAAATCCTGAGGGACCGCCAATCCAGTCTAGACAGAACAACAGGAGCTCCTGAATGTCTACAGCTGGATCATGCTGCCTTTACTTCCCTCTGAACAACAGAGGATCATTCCCTAGCTTTTGTTGTTATATCTGTAAAAGTAAGGCTGGGTATTTCTTGCTGTAAAATAATTTTCTTCCTCCCCAAAAACTAGCCTAGTAGGCAAAATTGCTGGCCCCTGGTGAAAACTCAAGTGGTCCTAAAGCCTCCATCCCTTCTTGCAGGAGCTTGGGCAGTTCACCATGTATTTCGTACCATGGTTCATTCAACTACTCCAAGGGATTAGTAATATTTTCCTACCTCACAGGCAGACTTGTTAAATGTTTACATGCCACTAGGATGATGAAGTCACAAATGCTATAGAAAATCTCATCAATAAATAATTAAAGCTGTTTCCATGGCTGCTGCTATTGTATGCTACCATGAACACATAGCACATGCTGTTGATCTGCGTCTGCTGTTCTGAAATTGTTGCCTGGTTTCTCTCCCTATAGAAACACCACAGAGATACCACAGGGCGTCTTTTTCTTCTTTTAACCACCTTGGTAGGTTAGACTCGGAAGGCCTCTGTGGTGCCACAGACCAAGGACCTCGGGAAGTGGGTGTTTCTACCACTCTACTTCAGAGCAAGCCTGGGGAACCTGCTGAGGCATCAGGAAGCATGACAAAGGTCTAGCTTTCTCTCTCACTCTGCGGTTTTCAGTCTGCTTCTTGTTTATGTCGATGGTGTCAGATAGCTTTGGGATACGAGCATCTGCTTTCCTGAACACTGTCTGACACCAAAAAGATTAATTTCATATAAGCCACTAAAACAGGCTATGTCTAACTGTGCACCATCTTCAGCTGCCCTCCACACATATGTGATTCCAAATTACTGAAAGCAGTCCTGGGAAACTGTGTATTGTAACTGCCCAGAATTTGTCAGTGATATAAAATTGACTTTTACCTTGGTAACTAACTTACTAGACACATAAGTGATCTTAGCAAATGCAGTATTAAAATCCATTAAAATGGACTGATTGATATAAATTCCAGATTTAGAATTAACCATTTTGAATTATTTCGTTAAAACAGGAAGAAATATTTTTTGTCATTTTAAATTATTTTCCTCATAGAACTGATTTTTCCAAAGTCATCACATGATCCCAGGCCACAGGCAACAGAAACCCTGTCAGAAATGTACCTTAGAAAGACTTCGAATCATCATCCCTCATAGCTAACCTTGGAGAGGATATGGTCCTTCCCATATACCTCTGAAATCACCTTTTATAGCCCTCTAAAAAATAAGATCACAGAATACATGAAACATCACCTTTTCTAAGTGTTCTTTACTTATTAGTGCTCCCATGTCAACTGTAGGATCTGAGGGGTTCCCCGCCTTCCACTTCTTAGCCTCTTGCACAAAGCTCTTCAAAAACTCGCTGTATATGCCTCTCTGAACAAAGACCCTGGAGGTGCAGAGACAGATCTCACCCTACCAAAAAGAAATAATCACATAAACAAGAAAAACAACAATATTAGCTCATATTGCATTGTACTATTGACAAGTACTAGAAGTCACATCCCAGAATGAGATTTGTTTCCCTGCATCCTCAGGAGTGCAAACTACATTCACCAACAATGCAAAGTAAGTTTTTTCCCCTTAACAATTTAGGATTCGGAACTAATGGTATGTCCACACACACACATTCAAAAATACACACACACCACCTGCAGCAAAGAGGGTTTATATGCTACAGAGGTGGGAGGCACCTGGTTGGCAAAGCTGGACCTCAGGGTTGTGGGGATGCATTGGCTCAAGTCAGCATCATCGAAGATGATCGCAGGGTTTTTGCCTCCCAGTTCCAGCGAAAGCCTTTTGCAGTGTGGAGCACTTTTCTCTGTGATCCGCTGGGCAGTCAGCGTACTCCCCGTGAAAGAGATCAGAGGCACATCGGGGTGGCAGACGAGGGCTTCTCCTGCCTTGGCGCCTGTTCCAAACACCACATTCACCACCCCATGAGGTACCCCTGATGGGAAGAAAGGCACCAATTCCCCTGATCAGTCACGCTTGCCTGAAATCCATGATCAGAGATCCAGTTTTAAGTCATTCAGGGAAGAAGCAGTTGTTCTCCTAGTTTTCCTTAATAGTGCATCAAATACAGCCATGACATAGCCATTGAGAGCTGATTCTCACTTTCTTATACTCTCATGGTTCCTCTGCTTTCAACACAGACTTAGGATGCCCTTACGTGGAGCGTAGGAGGGGGAAAGGAGAAACATGAAGATTTTTCATGAGAGGATAGTGGAAAAAACTGCGCAATAACTGGGGTGGGGAGATGGAATTGTGTGAGGACAGGGAGACCTTTTTGTTCTCCAGTGCAACATTTAGCTACAGCAAACAGTCTTTCCCAAACTCTTCGAGCACTTTCTGATTTCTGCAACCAAAAAATGGTGCACAGACAAGAATTTCGATTCCATTCCCCCTTCCTAGCACGCTATGGGACTTACCTGCTTTGTCCAAGAGCTTACACATCATCCAGGCTGTGACAGATGTCATCTCGCTTGGCTTGGCAACCACAGTATTTCCACATGCAATGGCAGGAGCTATTTTCCAGGTCAACAAATATAGTGGCAAATTCCAAGGACTAATTAAACCAGCTACAAAGCAAAACCATAGAAGACAGGAGTTCAGTCTGCTGGGGTACAAAACTTGTTTCTCTGACCTCAACCAATTCAGATTTATGAAGGGCATTTGGCCATGGCTTTTATTTCCAGACAATCATACAACAAATTTGCAGCTAGAAACATTTCCCACAGGCAGATAACTTTAAAAGATTTGTGCAAATGATCCTAAAGGTCATCAGCCAAACTCTCTGAATAAGTTTTAGTGTTTCAGGACAGAATCTTATATTCACAGGAAGTTTGTCTAGGAACATTAGTGTTTTCTAGGAACATTAATGCAAGGTTAGCCATAACAATAATTTACATCAGCAGGTCTGCAGTAATAGTCTGTGTTAGCTCAGATCACTTGCTTTCAGTTGCTCTAGAGAGCC